AATTTTTTGGGTAGGCTTATCTGAAAGTGGCATTACAGGTGGAAAACATGAAAAATATGTGGATTCAGTAGGCAAATTGAAGAGACCATAAGACCATTTGTGGAGAATGGGAGGGTGCGTCCTCCCTCTCCCGTGGAAGCTGGGACACGTGAGTGTCGCCTGCTTAGGTGATGCTCATGTCACCTGTAGCTGGGTTTCGCACCATTCAGTGGTATTTTGATGACAAACGCACGAACCTCGTTTTAGCCGTTAAGACAACTTATGAAGATCCCATGCCATTTCCTTTGAACACATGTGCTTTGTGTCCTCGGTTATCTGCACCCTTCTCGGCAGCACCTGGATTGCCACGGACTTCAAGCGATACCGTAATACCGGTGTCGATAAAAGTTAGGTCACGGGCATTGCAGTGTTCGGAGCATTACCCAGCCGGCTGGAGGGCAGGTCGGGCTGTTGTCATGGTCTCTTATTGAGAGCTCTTAGTAACCGAACTGCGCTGTGCATGCGATTACACAACGCCGAATTGGCTCGACATGGGTGTGATAGAGTGTGAGGCCAAAACTCTTACGTTTTCTTACGTGTTTCTCTGGAATATGCCGCTGTTAGCGTAGTTTTCTTACGTGATTCTCTGGAATATGTCGCTGTCAATGTTAAGTGCCGTAAATATTGATGCATGTCATACATTTGATGAGGAGGGACACGTGCGCTCTAGGGCTACTACATGCGCAAGCCCTTACTTTCTTCCCAGAGTTGCGGTTGCAGCGCTTTCCCAGGCTGAATACGAAACTACATCCCTGAGTTAAGGAGTGTTTGCGCCACATGGAAAGGCTGGCATTTCGCCTGAGGGCGAACACAATACGCTGTCTTAGGAGACCAACGGCGGTTTGGGAGCTAAAGGTCAAATGGTGCCCTGATTTTTCGTAACTGAACGGATTTCGTTTCGGTTTATAGGAGTGTTCCAGAACAAAGTCTCTTGTAAAAAAATACTCTTTTTTATTTGAAGTTTAGACATCCTGCAACACTGAACATTTGGGTGGGGGGGCATGGCCCGGTTGCCCCTTTTCCCCCCTCTGGATTTACCCTTGATTTCGTCGCGTGGAACTTGCGCCGGTTGCGAAACACCACGGGAGGCACGAGGATCTTTATCTAGACTTAAACGACCGGGACTCCAGCAGTAGCTATATCTATTTTTAGAGACATTTCTGTCCACAAATATCCCTAGAATGCTGGCCGTTTTCGTCGCCGTCATGAATTCAAGATCCGGTTTGACGGTCTGAGATGCGACTTTTATCGCCGCCGCCGGGCCGCCCCTCCCCCGCTTTCTCCCCTCCTCTTTCCCCTCCCCCTCTCGTGCGGGGAGCGGGTCCTGTCGGCGCGGCACGCCGCCGGGCCGCCGGGCCGCCGAGCTCCTCCCACGGGAGCGGCGGCGGTAATTGCCCTCTGTGCCAGTCGCGCACCGGGGCGCCGACGGTGCTCGCGTCAGTATCGGGGCCGGTTTGCGCACGCGACCCGTTAGGGGACAGCCGTCGGCCGCTTGGGAGCGGCTCAGGCGCCGCTCGGCGCCGAGCTGTCCTGGAGCTGCAGTGCCGGATGCTGGAAACTGGTTACTGACCTTGGTGGGCTGCTTGACGGATACCCTGTGTCATGCTCAGTACATCGTCGGGAATGGGTTAGGACAGGCTGTTTTTCTTGGTGGTGTAGGCTACATTTAGTGTCGCGCGAATATTGAGATATCGTCTCTGTTTGTGTGAGAGCTAAACGCATTTGCCGCTTCCCGTGTGTTGCGGCCGCACGGCCTTCGTTTTAGCGTTCAGCGACGCAATCGTTCGAACTAGGAAACATTGATTGATCTAGAGCATGAAAAAGCTGCTCGAATCGCTGAATTATTCAACTTCACATGGAATTGCATGCTCTTGGCATGACGGTCCCGTTGTTTAATCATTGCTTGGTCGCGACTGGGTAACATGTATTGACTATATTTTGATTGCTTATTTTGTTTTGGGCGAAGTTGTGAACAACTGGATGGTTGATGACGTGCGAACGTGGTCGCGTCGTTGTCATGTTCTTTTATTGCATTGATACAACTATTGTAATTCTTCCGAATCAAACAATAAGCCCCTCGCTGGAATGATTCGTGAATACGATCAACCAAGGCCATTTGACTGAGCGGGTGAAATTGCAGCACGCGGGTTTAGAACTTCCAATCAACCATTTCGTTTTTGGCTGCTCGGCGAACCGGTGGATGGGGATCCTTCAGCAATGTTAACCAGAACGCGGGGAAAACAGCAGGATATTTTTGACACGGTGTCCCCGAGCTTAGTGTGCACAACGCGTAACAGACGCTGATACGGGCGGTGAGACGCCCCCGGCAGGGCATCGGGACCATCTGTTGCCCAACAGCTGCCGCTGCAGCACGCGGAAGGCGGCTTGGTGGAGGCAGATGCGCTGACACGTGTGCTGACGTGCCTCACGATGAAGGGGCTGATCTCTGTCTCGTGTCGCATGGCCCAGGCCACCCCGGTCTGGTATATTGGGGCCTCGTGTCCGTCGATCAGCGTATTGCTGTGAGCGTGACAGCTTGAATCGCACGCCACACAGCACCGGCTCAGCCCTGCCTCCGGCTGTCGCTCTCCCGAGCCCGCCCCGCCCGCCCCGCCGCCTCGCTCGCCGGTCGCCGCGCCGCCGGGCCAGACGTCTCGCCCGGAGTCACCGGCGGCGGCGGCGGCCGGTGCGTCCGATGTGGGCCACGCCGCCGGCGGCCCGGAACGCTGGGCGCCGCCGCTGCCGGGCGAGCGCCGCCCGCTTGTCTGTCCGCTCTCCCCGAGCCGCCGCGCGCCGGGAGCAGGCTGGACGGCGCGGCCCTGGGAGGGTGGTGATGTGCGGTAGAGGTCCGGTTTGGGTGTGAAGTCACGCGCGGCGGCGGTGGTCTGATGACTGGCTGTGTCCGAGGTCGGCTTGCGGGGAGATCGGCACTCAATCATCATGGTGAAAACATAGCTTTCCGATGTCTGCGCTAACCTCCGTCAATCCCATAGATCAAATACGACAACAGCTCGACCTTGCATGCTGACAGCATTGCTTTCTTTGCTTTTTCTCTTATCAGCTCCATTCGCCGATGGATTACAGCTGAAGAAATACCGCTCTGATGGTATGCCTGACGCGGTTTTAAGCCTGCGGTATGTACCGCCGGCGGCCTCCGGGGCCGTCGGCGGGGTGCGGTCGGCGGGCCGCCGCTCGCGCTGGTCGGCGAGTGCCAATTCGCCGCTCTCACGTCCGGCTCCGGCTCCGGCCCCGGCCCCTGCTCGGCCGGGCGGCGGGGTGTTCGGCGGGCGCCCGGATGCGCAGAGCGGCCACGGGTGGTCCGCGTCACTCACGCCCTGAGGTGCTGCGGACGCAGCAACGCACCTCTGGACGAAGCACTCGGAAGTTTCCCTTTCGCCCTGGCAGATATGTTGAGAGCGTGAAAATATCCGAAAAATGCATTCCCTTCGCCTCTGTTCGACATATGGCACACCACGAGTTGTCAAAAAAGTCTGGCATTTCGCACTGGTCAGTAGACGCCCGCCTCTGCGTATCGGGCGGGCTAAACTTCGCAGACAGGCATGCACGGCACTGGAAAAGTCTCGTGTGCCTGGTCCGAAGACCGGTTTGTGGTCTGTGAGGTCGGACCAGACCGGACCGGACTGGATTCCCGGCAGAGCAGTCCTCTTCCGCGGCAGGAGGTGGCTCGGGCGCCGCCCTGTCGGCCCGCTCCGCCGCTGGCCCGCATCTCCTCTGGGTGGGCGCGGAACATACCTGCCCTTGAATGCAGACAGTCTGATCTGGGCTGACGGCACGGCAAGGCTGTTGATCCTCCACTGTGATGGACTACAGTGAAGCATCAAGCAGAGTTTTTTTTCTTGTGGGAATGCGTGAGCCGTGTAGAAGACTGGAGTGGATGCATTATGATGCATCCGTCTGTGGGGATTTGTTATGTCATCGCTCGACATGCCCATTTTGCCCTCGCACAGTTATGACCACCCAAAGAATGGTCTCAACCTCGTTTACCGCTATCGCCGCTAAGCTGTGAGAGAGCTGCTGGAATGGCCGGGTTTGCTGCTGCCACCACTGCCGTGGCTCTGACCGGCTGCTCTCCGGCTGCCAGGCTCTCCACGATGATACGAGTCGGTACGTGACTGGACCGTGGTCCTGCTCGGGTACGGCGTCTAGGACTGGGGACCGTCCGCCGCTCCAGAATGTGTCGCTTCTGCCTCTAGTGCCCGAGGCCCGGCTCCATTCAGCTCTTTGTGGTGGTTGCGCCAAGCACCTCGTGTCTGCATCTTCCGCATTCTTAGATCGCCGAGTGTCTGCGTTTTCTTTGGATCTTCCGTCTTGAGGATCCGCTCAGTGCCGCTCATCCGGCTGGGTGTATGTGGTCTTATCTCGCTCGCCGTCGCAGCCACTCGTCCCGTACTATGCTGGCTCTCGAGCGCGGCGAACGCTGCCTCGTCCCGGACGGGAGCTGTTTTCGGAGCAATAGAGCAGTATGAGGTAAAGAGCTATGGCAAGCGTGGCGCGCGCACGCTTCTGACAGTGTGTGGGGAAGATGGCTGTACCAATGCCGCGGTATTCTGGACACGCTTCCGCAGATGCAGGCCATTGGAGGGCGAGCTTGCGGTGCCCCCCCCCCCCCCCCATGGGATGGTGATCGGCTGCGATTCACGAGGTGTGACGCTGGTTAGTGCTGCACGGCGAATCCTGACATTCGCCGGATACATCTCTATCGACACTTTGGCTCCTAATGAATAAATCTGTGATGCGGTGTGTGTTGCTGCGCTTCTTAAGATAACCCCTCCCCTCCCCGCCATCGTGTTCTAGTTCCGGCAAATGCTCCAATATCCGCCACCACTCTCACCCGGTCTCCTCCACCGTCTCACATTGCGCCTCCCCGTCCTGGCTGACACATCTTGCGCCGTAGCCGCCTGCGGCGCCGTCGTCCTGAACGCTCGCCGGCTCCTTTCCAGTGGAGCTAGGCGGCAAGCTGGAGCGCTACATCGAGCGGTTCTTCAACGCGGGCCGCCAGCTGGTGCAGCTGATCCGGCTGAGCGCGCGATCCGGTCTGATCCGGGCCCGGCTGGCCGGCGCACGCGCCGCTACCGGCGACGTGCTCGTCTTCCTCGACTCCCACTGCGAGTGCGGCATCCAGTGGTGAGTGGCCCTGGCGGGCGCGGCGGCCAGTGGCGGGTGAGCGTTGTGAATGCGGGGTCCATTGCTGAGAGGACGCTGCGAGCGTGGCGTCCAGTGGTGAGGGGGCGTGGTGAATGTGGCGTCCATGTGGGGAGTGGATGATGCGAATGCGGCGTTTATTGGCAAGTTTCGTGACAGGTATTGCGTCCTGTAGTGCGCTGTTACTGAGAAAGTGGTGTCCAGCGGTGTGCTGTCACTGGGGAAGTGGTGTCCAGTGGTGAGCTGTCACTGGTGCAAAGGTGTCTAGTGGTGTGCTGTCACTGGGGAAGTTGTGTCCGGTGGTGTGCTGTCACTGGGGGAGTGGTGTCCAGTGGTGTGCTGTCACTGGGGGAGTGGTGTCCAGTGGTGTGCTGTCACTGGGGGAGTGGTGTCCATTGGTGTGCTGTCATTGGGGAGTGGTGTCCATTGGTGTGCTGTCACTGGGGAGTGGTGTCTATTGGTGTGATGTCACTGAGTGAGTGATGTCCGGTGGTGTGCTGTCACTGGGGAGTGGTGCCCATTGGTGTGATGTCACTAGAGGAGTGGTGCCCGGTGGCAAGCTGTCACTAGGGCAGCGATGTCCGGCGGGGAGTTGCATGTGTTGAGACGTGGGGTGTAATCCAGTATTGAGTTGTGAGTGGGCGTAATAGGGACTGGCGTCGCTTCGGGTGCGGTGTCCTGTCGGAGTATCGTCACTGTCGCTGTGACATACGGTACTGAGCACCGTTCCTGTAAGGGCGACGCACTGCCGAGAGTGACGTCCAGGTGTTTATGAACCAGATGTGACGTGAGAGCCGCGCTGGCAGTGAACACGGTTGTTTATTATCTTTGTATGTGACAGTGAAGACCACTCTCCTTGAATTGTGTTACACATGTGGCATACACTGTCGTGCACCTGCACGTGCTTGGATTATCACTGTCACAACGGCTCAAACGGTTTCCCGCCATGAGGCTCAATATCTGATGCATGCCAGACGTATTTGACGATCCCCGATGCTAGTTAGGAGTCCGTGACACTGCTGAGTCAAAAGGCGTTCAGTATTCTGTGATTGCAGCCCTGGGGACTGCGTGCTGGTACCACCACAGTTTGAGAACACCGATAAACGAGCGCGGTGTACTTTGCCTCCTGTTAGCCGCATCATCTGCCGCTGGCATTTAATGATGTCATGGCGTCTGCCCCCGCTACGCCTCGGGACTGGTGACCCTCCGAGGTGTGCAGGCGTCATTCGGGCCCGTGTCGGCGGCGCGGGACGGTAGCTCCACCCACCCACCGCCGCCTCAGGGCCTGGTGGCCCTCCGAGGTGTACAGGCGTCATTCGGGCCCGTGTCGGCGGCGCGGGACGGTAGCCCCGCCCACCCACCGCCGCCTCGGGACCTGGTGACTCTCCGAGGTGTGCAGGCGTCATTCGGGCCCGTGTCGGCGGTGTGGGACGGTAGCTCCACCCACCCACCGCCGCCTCGGGACTGGTGACCCTCCGAGGTGTGCAGGCGTTATTCGGGCCCGCGTCGGCGGTGCGGGACGGTAGCCCCGCCCACTCACCGCCGCCTCAGGGCCTGGTGGCCCTCCGAGGTGTGCGGGCGTCATTCGGGCCCGTGTCGGCGGCGCGGGACGGTAGCTCCACCCACCCACCGCCGCCTCGGGACCTGGTGACTCTCCGAGGTGTGCAGGCGTCATTCGGGCCCGTGTCGGCGGTGCGGGACGGTAGCCCCACCCACCCACCGCCGCCTCGGGGCCTGGCGACCCTCCGACGTGTACAGGCGTAATTCGGGCCCGTGTCGGCGGTGCGGGACGGTAGCCCCAACCACCCACCGCCGCCTCGGGACCTGGCGACCCTCCGACGTGTACAGGCGTAATTCGGGCCCGTGTCGGCGGTGCGGGACGGTAGCCCCAACCACCCACCGCCGCCTCGGGGCCTGGCGACCCTCCGACGTGTACAGGCGTAATTCGGGCCCGTGTCGGCGGTGCGGGACGGTAGCTCCACCCACCCACCGCCGCCTCGGGGCCTGGCGACCCTCCGACGTGTACAGGCGTAATTCGGGCCCGTGTCGGCGGTGCGGGACGGTAGCCCCAACCACCCACCGCCGCCTCGGGGCCTGACGACCCTCCGACGTGTACAGGCGTAATTCGGGCCCGTGTCGGCGGTGCGGGACGGTAGCCCCAACCACCCACCGCCGCCTCGGGGCCTGACGACCCTCCGACGTGTACAGGCGTAATTCGGGCCCGTGTCGGCGGTGCGGGACGGTAGCCCCACCCACCCACCGCCGCCTCGGGGTCCCGACCGACACAGTCACGCTGAT